ACCCATTTCTTAGTGTTTTCTTTCTTTCTGTCCGGGGGGGGGGGTGCACTCACAATGACGTGTGTCATTAACTTCTCTGCTTGACCACAATGAAAAGAGATATGTTTGCAGGGGTCAAGGTGAGGTTGTTTTCTTAACCTAAGAACACTGAACCAACGGTCAAGCATGGTGGTGGTAGTATCATGCTGTTTTGCTGACAGTACTGTACATCAGTACATTGCGCAAAGAAGATGGAATAATGAAGTAGCACTGGATAGATAGATTGGGAATTTTTTGTCATAGTACCAGACACAAAAAGAGGAACATAAAAGAAACATAGCATAATAAGTATTTACTGTAACCCTTTGGAGTCTGAGTCCTCTCCACTTTCAAAGTAGTCTGACATGCCTTGACATTTTACAGTTTTTCTTAATTGCTAAAACACATTTCCTAAAATCTCTCCATTAAACAAACCACTAAGCACAAACTCTAAAATTCAAGCTAAACTCACAAAACCTTACACTCGTCTTGCAAAATGAAACAATCTTCTCAAAACTAAATTATCTTTGCTCAAAAGCAAACACTGCTTTCAGATCATGCATCAAGCCAGTTGGTTAAATAAACACTACTGAACAGTCATTACACACTACAGCAAAAAATTAAAAACACTACCAGTCAAAACTGTTGTTGACATGTAAATTAGAAACCGCAAGACTATAGTTAAAAAAAAAAAAAAAAAAAGTATGGTCATCTACAAAAAATATTTCTATACTGTACAGTTATAACTGATAACTAATATGTAACGTTTGCCGTATTCAGTACTCCAGAAACGTTACTGTAAAGGACAAAGCCAAAAAGTAAATAAATGAGAGGCATATTACAGTGTAATATAAGTGTAATACACTTGTGCAACTGCTAAGTCAGAGTCACGGAAAAATATTCATTCATCATCTCATTCTTCATCTCAGGGCTGGGTCTAGCGATGCTATCCCTTGTTGGGCGATGCAGAAAGAATCTTCTGTGTGGCCCATTTGTACCTTGACATTGAAATTCAGCTTCTATTCAACATCTATGGCACGTATTCTATGTTCTAGTTACTCTTTGGCTTCTTCAAATGTTTAGAAATGTGTGAACAGTTTTGAGTCAATGTGTTTAAATGACTAATGTGTGCTACAACAACAACAACAAATTTATTTTTGTATTATCACGTTATCACAACATTACATTGTCCCAAAGCGCTTTACAGCATCCCCACCCAAAGCCCCCAGTGA